CTTTTTGTTTTTATGAATATCTCAAAAACAAAAAATCTGAAGAAACCCACTTTTTCCTAGAACAGCCCCCATATACAATTAATTTCTCTTTTCAAATCATAATGAATTTAATATAGGATTTTATATTTGAGATGACACCCTTTTATAAAATTCCAAGCATTTATATTGACCACATATTAATGTTATACCTTCTTGTTCATTGCAACAATCATTATTAAATGGTGGTTTAGAACTAACCAGTAGTAAGCATTTAATTTCAATCATTCATTAAATCTTTTAAATAGTTAATAAACAACAACAACAGTAATAATAGTGGATTATTGATGAGAGATGGAGAGAAAGACTATCCATGATAATGGAAGATAAACTCTCATTTGTAAATATTATTATTTATTTCTTTGTATTATGATTAAGTTTTTGTTATATAAACTTGATATACTAAATTCTTGGATAATATTTTATTTATTAGCAAAAGTTATTTAAACACACAACGCATATATATATATATATATATTTGGAAGAACAATGTACTAGCAAGAGGTTTGATAATATTTAATTATTACAATGGTCATCAATGTATATTTATATATATATATGTAATTTAGTTTCTAAAAAAAAATTTTCTTTTAAAACAGCAATTGATAACAAATAAAATTGTTTTACATGTATATGTGGATCAGATTGAATGGGCAATCTTTACTGACAAATACTTTTGGGTATTGATTTAATTATTTGAGTGTTAATTGTTATTTTCTTTTATTCAAGAGAATTGTTTTGAAGGTAGGTCACTTATACATTTTGATTAATTAATGTTATTAGCATAAAAATGTCATTACTCTAATTAATCATACTAAGAATGTCTATATAATAATAAATAATAGATCATTGTTATTAACATTTTGTAAATCTATTGTTTAAACATACTATGAATATGATGATTTTATGATAATTACTTTATATCTAAAAGTGTATATATATTCTTGCATCAACTTGAAATTCACTTATTCCATTCGAAACTAAATTTCCATACATAAATTTATTCGATAAAATTTAATTTTTGTGTGATTTCTGGAAAGGAGATTGTCACAAAATTTAGCCAATGAAATCAAATGTCCATTATGCTATACCTTAGCTGGTAACATCAGGGAATTTTTAACATAAACTTTACAACCAGGAACATTTAATATACAAGTTCCCAGAACCACCAACTGCAGTTTTTCAAACCAAACCAGCTGAATAGTTTTAATATCTCTATTTAAGCATCATTCTCAAAAAAGTTTTCCATTTAATGGTAAAAGTTCCTGACTGTAATAAATGAAATAAAATTGATTCAGCACAATGTTTGTCAGTAATGCCAAATTTTGAAGAATGTTGTGGTGAAATCAATTTTAATTGTTGTTCAATGACAAAATTCTAAAGTAAGTTTATTACAAAACTTAGAGCTTGAAATTCGTAATACTAATACAGTATCCATTTTAATATTTTTCAAGCAAAACACTGTATAAATCTTTAGCTTTGTTTTCAAAATACTTCAATTCATTCTAAATAAATAATAA